TATCATATTTGCGGTATCGTGAGTGTTTCGTCTTGTCATTGTGCACACTAACTGATCCCTCATCTTTTTAGGAAGGCACCAAGGATGATTATCAATATACGGCCTGTGGATATATGACGAGTGTTTTGTGGGAAGGACTTTACTCTAATGTGGATTTCGTGAGTATGTTTCGTCCTGTCATTATGCACGCATTAAACAATCCCTTATCTTATAGAAGACCTTCATGTACCATATGCGACTTTTCGAAGAAGTGGGTTTCGTCTTGTCTTTGCGCACACATCAACCAATCCTTTATCTCTTAGGAAGTCACCGAACGTTTCGACGTGGGTGTCATCTTGTCATCATGCACGCATTAATCAATCCCTTATCATTTAGAAAACCACCAAGATCGTGGATGCTATCAATTTGCGATATATGCTAGACTGTGCCCAAGCGGAACTTGCCGTTGCTGGTGGCATCTATACCAAGAAGGGATCCAGAGGGGATGCATCCCGCGCCTTTCGTGTTCATGTTAAAAAGTACACTAGCGATGAGGAGCGATATGTCGCGTTGCGATGCCTCCCCGGGCTTCTAAACGTATCTGAGGATGTGCTCCACTACATGACCTCCGAGTCCGGTGCCATTGTCATCCGTAAAAGAGGCGATGCGAGTGCTCACGGCAATGGTCAAGGGGAGGAAAACCTTGATGCATCCATCATGCGTGAACCTGAGGAGGTCCAACATATTCTAAAGGAGATTCAACATCTTGGTCTTAAACGACGCTGATACATTGTTACTTTCTTTCTTTGCTACACTGTGTTTTTGCTTTCTAATTGCTTTGTATCACATCATACTTGGATCATATCATTTGTATATCTACTTTACCAGAACATCTTTGCAACGCATGAATCCATTTGAGCGCCGTTGGAACTTGCAGTATGTGTAAGCGTATGACCTTGGTGGTGGATGGCAAAGGATGATCGATGACGAGTGAGAAGAGTCAAATAATTGTATTGACGAAGGCACCAATCCATCAGCTGTCCATCTCGGAGCTCGTACCATCGTATCTGTCCCCCGAAGATAACAAAAGTCGGTGCACCGTGTGCAATCCCATTCAGACCCTAAACAACAATCGTCAACATGAGGGAAAAACCACTTGCTGAGCACGTACCTCTCCTCCCGTCCACAACACCAGATAATTCCCTCCAATCCTGCTCCCCTCTACAATACTCCTCGTTGCTGTCGTCGTCCTCTTTGATCATAGTTTGTGGCGCCGCGAATGCATTCGGGGTGCGCATGGTTGTGAAAAACGGGAGATGCGCGGGGACGCCCTCGCAGACACATGGATTTTGCTCGCCGGAACGCGATACAGCGCAAAATTCGTTTGAACGGTAGTCAGAACGTCGTCTGCAAAGTTGAGATGATGAGGGACAAGGGACAAGATGTCGAACGAGGATGGTCGTAGGGAAATCTATCAGAGTAGGTTAGCTCCCCCCAAAACCGAGTAAGAATGAGCAACTGACTTTGGACGCAAAGAGAGACCAGAAATCCTGCGCGACCAGCAAATATTCCCTTCAGCCTCGAACATGTTCCCTCCCTTGAAACTCATCATGACAGCAGTCCATTATGCGCTGTGGCTATCGTCGTTACATGCACCTTGCTCGCCAGGAAGCATTACGTCGTTTCGACGCAGAAGAGGGCGTAGGCGTTGAGGCTGTTGACGGGACGATGTATGCTAAGTTGGTGAAGGGAAAGACGCGGCCGGTTCCAAAGATTACAACACCCGAGCGGGGAATAGACTTGGAGGAAAACGCAGTCAGCTCCAACTATCAACGTTGACCGTTGACGTTGAACGTTCAAGAACCCCCAACTGCGTGAACCCACTGAATAGAATCCTCTGAACGGGAGACGAAAAGCGTGCCAGAAATCGAGATCCTGCAATTCAAATAAGCAAATAGAATAACTAACAAGAGAGAAAAAAAAGTATAAGCAAGTTCCAAACAAGACGACGGGACGCGCGCGGAGGTATCGAATGCGGATCGGCAAGCAGGTGAAGGGGCAAAATAACCGTGCCAAATCAAAAGTCGTTCGACCATGGACTCGGCGGCAGCTTGCGAGCACTGAGGCCTGAGGCATGGATCCTTGAGAGTGACACATGCACAAGTACGCAGACCCGGCTCCATTACACCTGCGCTAGCTCACGCGCCGTTCGCCGTTGTAGGATCCAATTGGACTACCGAGGTGTGCCAAAACACGCCTTTGTGGTGAATGCTTTGCTCGAGTATTTCCCGGTCCCTCTGACCTTGCCCACGAGGGCCCTGTGGAAGCGGCTCGTCACTGGTGCGAAGTCTCTGTAGCTTCCATCGAGATCAGGAAGGGAGAAGTAACCGTCGAAAGATAATAACGTAGATGTATTGTACAATTATAATGTCAAATGAATCCAAAATTCTATAGCGCATCGAAATTGATATGATGCGATGCCCTCCGTCTCTCCAACTCGTCCTCTCTCTGTATACCAAACACAATGAGAAACACCACAACCCATGATTAAAATAACGCACCTTTTCATTCAAATGCAACACTAGTACGATGACTGCCAACAAGATGGTTCCCACCACAACCGTAACCGTCACCCACGGAATCCACTTGCCTGGCCTCAAAAACAGCTGTCTCTTCCACGCCGCGCCATCTTGTCCAGGTAGTATGACTACCTTTGAGTTCGGTATGACACCCTCGATATTGATGTAATGCTCATCCACGTGCATGGTGCTCCCGACGAAGAGGTTTTCAATGTAGTTGTTCGTCCGACCCAAGCCGAAGAAGGAATAGGGCGATTGGAGGGCGTGGTAGGATGTTTGGGGGAGCTGACCGACTATGTGGAGGAGGGTTAGTAAGAAAGGGGTGAGGAAGGGAAACCCATACTTTGCGCAGCGGAACGACGGCCAGAAGTGTCGAGGATGGTGTACTTGTATGAGGCCCCGGAATAGCTCACACCGAATGGCTTGGAGCGAAGGTTAGGCAGAGTCATTAGAGTGTTAAAGGATAGACATACAAGATATTGGGTTCCGTTGGTACCATAACACCATCCGTTATTACACGCGCCATTCAATACTAGGTGCGTATTAGTTGTGTCGAAAAAAAACCCCCGAACGTACCAATGGCCTTGAGGAAGAATGCGTCATAGTAAAAGTTGTTCTGCACGAACGATATTTTTTCCGAGCCAGATCGTTGCACCATAATGTCCAATGTGCCCTTCAGAAGCGACGTAAGTAACCAGATTCACACAGGCAAAGAAGGACCTTACATCTTCATCCATATCCACAAAGGATACACTTCGCGCATCCTTGATCGAATCCAACACTTCCGCGCCCTTCTTCTCCACATGCCAGCCCCGTTTTCCACTGCCGTCCGTGTCACAGCCAGTGACACCCTTCTCGCAAGGGACTGAAAATACGAGCTTTGGTGTGTGGTCGATTATGAGTAGCAGATCAGGAAACCCGTCCAGGTTGGCGTCACCTAGTTTGATAGGCAGGGGAACCGCTGGGGAAAGCGAAGTGTCGAGGACCAAGAGCGCGCCGCTGTCGAGGGAAGACAAGGGGAACCGCGCAAAGGCATCGTTATCGCTGCTATCTCCCAAATCAAAATTGAAGTCTGCATCTGCGATGCACAGGTTCTCGGGGGACCGACATTTACGAACACCTTTGACAACAGAAGGCTGGGTGGATGAAGCGCAAAGAGGAAGTTGCTTATTGTAGGCGATGTTTATGTAGCAGTTGGTTCCAAGACCGCTGGAGGTTGATACGGAGGAACAGGTGGGGAATATCATGTCAATAGTCCCGTCGCGGTCGATGTCGGCAAAAGAGATGGCTTGGACGCCAGAGGGAAGGGAGCCTTGCTGTGCGAGATAGAATCCATCATCTTTCTCGTTGACCCAGATCTGGAAGGACCGTCTGCCTCCACCGGCATCGCATACGAGGAAGACGTCTGTGATTGGTTAGATTGTTGTTAGCGGTAAGAAATCTAGACGTACCCGCAAGGCAATCCCCGTTGAGGTCCACGACTGCATTACTATGAGGAGAAGCAAGAGTGCACTGTGTGCCATGAAATTCTGGGTCAATGCTGCGAAACTGTAAGCACAGAATAGCATACACAGGCTAAACGCACATGTCGAACAGTGGTGAGTGCGCCTGTGTGGCGTTCCACACATTTTGCCACGCCTTCAATGGCTTGTCAGCGTCGGACGTTATTCCCAATAGGTCAATCTTCATGTCGCCATCCAAATCGACAGGTATTGGCTGAGGGGCCTTGGAGGAAGCGACGGAAATTGGGCTGGCCACATCTGGAGTAAAGTCAGAGGTAACCATAGCGCATATATCCAGTACGAACCGAAGCCGCCGCCAGGCAATGCAGGGTACAGCACCATGCCAATGGTGCTGCCTGCTCTGCTGTGTCCCATAACCAACAAATCCAGCTTCCCTGAGTGCGTAAAGTCACCGGGGACGACGTTCTCCACCACCACTGGATGTCTGAACGATGCTGATTCCTTAAACTCAAAATCCACTGCGAAACGTACGTGTCACGTTCCTGCTCGTCCTCAAGTATGAATCTTGCGCTCACCGTGGTCCCAGAGATACACAATCAGCGTCTGTCGGTCCTCGTCGAGCATCAAAACATCTAGGCTGCGTTCACGGTCAGGATATCGACAAAATAGGCACACAACGACATACAATTGGTCCCCATTGAAGTCCCCGAAGGCAATTGCCCTTTCACCGAGTGCGATGCCTCTCGACCCAGCGCCTACCAACGAGTTTCCTGTGAATCGTTTTGGCGAGAACGGCCATACAGCAAGCGTTGGGACGACAAGAGATAGAAATAGAGTCCAGAGGCCCGGAGTCGACCATTGCATGGTATTGGTACCGGGGCAAGGTCGGTTGACGTTGTCTGTAACAGAGTTCCAGATTTAGGCCTAAAACTAATTGATTACTATTTGATAAGTACTGTGAGAAGGCAGCCCTAATATCTCTCTGATAGTATATCGGTTAGTACACGCGCCTGTCATGAAGGAAGTCAGTACCTGTCCAGCATTACGCGCGAAAGCTGGGTTCGACTCCCAGTCAGAGAGTTGCTTTTACGTTTTGCTTCGGGGCAGTGAATGAGTCGTACATAGGCCGTAGGCTGAGGTAGCTTGGCAGTTGGAAGTCCTGACGCCTGACTCCTGAGTTCCTTACTTTGGCGTTCCAGCATTGTACAGACTTACAGTGTACGGCAGTACTACCATAGTAATAACCCCAGTGTGCACTGTTATGTGTGCGCACGAAAATCTGTATCAACTATCCAAACTCCCCAGTCCGCCTGGCATCAATATATATAAGGCTGATTGGGCTCGAGAAGTTACTATTTTGCAATTAACTACGAGGCAAGGACTTACCATCACGAAGTCCAGCCTGAGGGATTCGTGTTTAACCCTGGACTCATCAGTGCAAAGTGCCCACGAAAGAGGCCGCATTTTACCGCCACCTTCCAGAGGTAGGTCCATATACTTATTCATTCAGCGCTAGGTGTCCAATGGGCGCGTTTGAACTTCTCCGTAGCTATGAATATCTCGGCTCTCGTTTTACGCTTTATTCTAAGGCCCGGTGTCGAAAGACGAACAGTGAAGCTAATGACATGATGGGCGTATGTGTATTCATCCACATACTATTGAACGGGAAAAATGGTAGCAAAGAACAATTGATTGTCATAGATTAGAAAAATAACGACCCCCATTACTAGATGGGACTCGGGATCAAGCGCAGCGGCATCTGAGTACCTTTAGACATCTCATCCCTCACCATGGGAATCATAATTCCAGCGGACTGCCGTTTGATGTCAATACCTGCCTTGGAAAAAGTGAACTTGAAGGACTCGAGGAGCTCCATAACGCTGTAACAAAATGGCATGAGCACCGACATGAGCCACAGCGGAAGCAGCACTCACGCGAAATGCCACCCGATACAAGAGCGGACTCCGGTGCCTTGTAGCAAGTGACTAATACCCGAATGTCAACTTACAGACTAAAAAACCGAGAAGTGAGAGCTAGGAATTCAGGACAATAAAATACAAAATGTCAATCATGGTACACGTATAAAACTAATATCCTCCTAGTACTGGATGGGACTCGGAATCAGACGCATTGGCATCTGAGTACCCTTAGACATCTCATCTCGTACCATGGGAATCATAAGCCCGGCGTGCTGCCGCTTGATGTCGATACCTTCCTTAGGGAAAGTGAACTTGAACGACTCGAGAAGCTCAAACAGGATAACCTGTAACTCCATAACACTGCAACACATTGTGAGCCCACATGACGGCCAAGAAGGAAGAAGACTCACGCGAAACGCCAACCGATACAGGAGCGGACTCCAGCGCCTTACAGGAGAGGAACTATTGAGTGAACTACCTTTTTAGTCAAAGCGCTGACTTACTGAAGGTCAGACTAAAAGGCGGGGGAATGAGACTTGTTTTTTTGACGATTGACACCGAACTTACAGGTTAGCATAAACACCAACTGGTGTCTGCTTGTCCAGTTCACCCAAGAATCGATCTGGATTCCAAGCATCGGCATCGGAGCCCCATACAGTTGGATTACTGTAGCGTCCTAGAGTGAGCGTACACTTAAGATTGTGATGTCGGCTTGTACTGACCGATTGTAGTATGCGATTGCAATCTCGACGAGCTGGCCCTTCTCCACAGGGATTTCGGTGAGCTTGGCTCCAGTGGACGTAGTAACTGGGTCGGTAAGCGGAATGACGTCGTCATAAGCCGCGATACGCAGCAGGCCGGGAACAATAGGATGGAATCGGAGAGTTTCCTGCGAATGCCAAACCAATGAACGAGTAAACGACTCGAAGGCAAAGTACACACCTTGATCACAGCGTTCATAAACGGCATACCATCGTAATCTGCTGCAGTGAGTTCGCCTTTGGTCGCATATCGGCTTCGGACTTCCGCTATTTCAGCGCGGATACGGTCTTGCTGCTCAGGATGGTTACACAGCTCGAATAGGGTCCACGTGAGCGTAGATGCGGTAGTCTCGTGTCCTGCCAATGTAAGTGAACTGTCACCGTGCAGGGTCAATATGACTGTTCCAAGACGGAATACGATGAACTGACGCTATCTGAGCGAGGACTTCATCGTCGCTTAATCTTTTCTTCTCTTCTTCCTGGGAATTCGCGCGTGCTATGACATTCAATGAGCCCAAGTACTTGCAACTAACGACAGCATCTCACCTAAGATACTCAGAACATCCTTACCAGTGGATGAATCTAAGCCATTCCCCTCGACGTTCTCCTTGAGCAGTTCCTGTCCAACCTTTTTGGCAGCGACCTCGAAACTTGAGAAATGTGTCTTTTGCCGGGAAGGAATGAGATCCATGAGTTGGAGAAGAGGCTTTGGCAAGATTCTAGGCAACGCAGAGAATAGTATTCCAGCGCGAGAGGGAAATATTCCTGCATCGTGGCTGGAAGGAAATAAGGAAAACGAAATAGTCAAACGGCAATACTACAAACAATAGATTGTTCAGCGTATTGGCGAGTCCATTATTCTCGTCATCAAGCGCGCCGTATTGATACCCGAAAGCACCTTTGATGGTCGTTAGTACTGAATAATGGTATCCTCCAGTATGGGAAGCTCACTTTCGCCAATAATATCCAAAGTCAGTTTTCCGAGCCATAGCGTTATATTAATATTCGACTGTCCACCTTCGGCCATGTCAGTAAGCTTTTGAGAGAACTAAGCAGCTCGTTAGACTGTAAGTCACGAGCAAAGGAATATCACGCAGACCCACCTTATTCGCTGATTGTTGAAAAAGACTGAGAAAGGTCCGAAGTTGTGCTGCAGAGAATGCGGGATTCATGACTTTCCTGTGACGTTGGTGAACAGATCCTAAGAGACACGTATTGAGAAACAAGCCCCGTTAACGAATTGAGACGGAACTGCACCAGCCACTGTGATGATTCCCCTCCCAAATAGTATGTTGAGGTTATAATCTGAATCGGGAGTTTTGGGATAACGGTATCCAGAGCCATGAAGGACATGCTGTAAACCTTTCGGATCACCGAGGACCAATAGATCTTTCTGTACCCAGAATACCCAGAATCAGCTACTTTGTCACAAATACATATGCGAAGATACTCACGCCGTAGCAAGCAGCTCCACGGAAGGCTGATCCATATTCGCGAAACCAAGGAAAGTCCAAGTCGCCGACTTGGTCTTGATGCTTAACCGCATATTCATTACCTTGGGAATCGAAATAACGAGGAGATGTTACAAGCAAAGATAAGGCTCACCAAGAAGCCAGGAGTCCGGTGTAGGACCTCGAAGCTGTTTGACAACAGAGCGTTTTCGCCTGGAGATTAAGATAGTGATAGCAATGACAAGAAGCGCGACAATAAACAGAGAAGTGGGCTCCATAATTGATACATCTTTGATCTTTGGGTAGTGCAAGCTTTATAGTCGGCATGCAAAGTGAAATGACAAAAGAGGACCAAGCAAGAAGCAACAGAGTCCTTCCAGAATATCAGGCTTCACTCCCGTATCAAGACGAAGCAAAAAATTGGGGCCTGGAGTGAGCCGCATTGCATCAATAACGAGGCCAAAAGGCAGCTCAGACATAAGCAAATTTGAGTCAACGGCCCGGCATGCGACTTGAACGCCTTCGGAAGAACTGGTTGTCGTTTACAACTTCAAGGTCCCGGCGGTGATGGACCTCCAATCAAAGACTGGTGTTAATAATGTCTCGGTTGGCCCGACATGACGATGTTATATATGTGTTGTCTGTAGAGTCTTTGCTCACCGATTGAGGCCTGGTTTGGGTCTAGGTATGCAAACAAAGGAGAATGACAGTGGGAAAATAATGATAGAGCGCAGCGAGGATTCTCGGTTTTTTCCGGACCGGTGAACGCGTCAGCCGGAGTCGGCACAATGTTCAGCAACTTCTTTCTCTTGTCATATCTGACCTGCAACTCATGCAAATCAACTCGTATGTCATCGAATTGCCACACATACAAAGCGCCAGCATGGTGCCATATGTCAGCAGCCAACTGAAAACCGGGAGCTTTTGCTCTTCTTTATAGTGCTGTATTTTTCGGGGATAGCAAGCTCTCAAAGCCTGTTTGAGAAAGCGGACTCTGCATTTGATTAAACGCAACAAGTAAACTATCTACTAAGACGCAGTGGCGGGGCCGATGCTCAGACTACCTCCTCCCTGGTCCCTCCGTTCAATACACTGTTTTGCAAACTTGGGGTTGGTGGCGATGTGTGTGGAGTACAGCGACGGACTTGTGTGGTGTTTATTTGCCCTGGCTTGGGCAGGTGCTTTTAGTTCTGCGGGTGTGGTTTTAACGAGCGTCATCGTGATTTGGCGCAGTGGTTTGCTCTCCGAGAGGGTGTTTCCTTCTGCGGGTTATCCACCCTCATCCTCCGACTCCTCATCTTCATCCTCCCACCATTCTCTCTCGTCCTCTTCAAATTCCGGCCCTGTTCTTGAGATCCGTGGTTCTCCGGACCTTGTGAACGCCCCTGAGTACTGAGTACTGAGTCCTCAATAAACTGGCTTAGTGCTTCGATTCCCTCCATCGTGCCGGGTATGTCTAGCAAATCGAGGCTTTTCGAAACTCCTCTCGCTGGTCGTCGTACAGTGGGCACTCGCATATTATGTGATCGCGTGTCTGGTATGGTTCGCCGCATGGGGAGTTAACGTTCTCAGATGGTACAGATTGGGAGTAGTACTCGCCTATATATCCATGTACATACTCAGTGTTCGTAGATTAACTTCGGCTGCAGTAATGACAACCATCTTCTCCGCGATCGGCAGCACTACTGAAGTACTGCCTATCTACGTACCCCAAATCCTCGGCTTCTGAATCGTTATATGACACGTTCCCAATGATCCACCGGGCCAAGGAGATTTCCTTCTATGGTATCCCAATCTACACACGAACCCAAAGACAGGTAAACCGCAATGTCGTATGACATTGTCTTTCCTTTACTATTCGACCCCACGCTTCTATTTTTCGAAGTCTCGATTGAGCCTATAAACCGGGTTCAAAGGACTCAAAAAGAACTGTTGTCTTCCTTTGTCCC